ACAAAAAAAACAAACCTCTCAAATCTTGCACATTAGCGCCTTTGCGATGGCCTCGGTTCGCATCCTGACCGTGTTGCGTCTGTGCCTGTAATGTGTCGCAGGTGATGAAAATTCAAGTCACCGCTTTTAAAACCTGGATCGAAGATAACATTATTCGATTTGCTAAAACCCACCGTTATCGAGATCGTCTTTTCGTCGTGGTTCACCAGCAGTTTGCCCTTGAAATTCCGCACAGACATCAGACAACTGTACACATCGCAAAGGTGCTTGGTCGTGTTATTGCGCACTTCCAGGAACGTAGCTTTTCTCAGCTTTATTCGTTCTTTCATCTTCTGCAAAAAAATTACATCCTAAGAGAGACCGGAAATGCAATTGGTTCCCTCAGTCGTCACTCACTGACAAGACTGGCTGTGCTTCTATCCTAAACCACTGATTTGGACACAGAGCGATGACATTAAGCATATCAAAACCAAATTTTTACCTATTGCCCAAATTTACTCGGAAAAATTTACCCAAATTAGTACGAACAAGATCATCGTCATCATAGTCATTATCATTATCAGCATCATGGTCATAACCACAACTACAGAAGGGAGGCCGGCACTAAAAATTATCATTAATATCGCCGCTACCACCAAAACTATCATTCTCAACAATCTCGCAATAGTTTTTCCCGGTAATAATAGTGCTGTTCAAACATACCAAAACAATTTTTTTCGCGTCCACATAGTTTTTCCGCAATTGTTCATACGCACTTTCCAGAGCATTAAGAGCTTCTTCCGATATAACACTATTCAATCCACTAAAAACATCTTTTTTTTCCATCTTTTTTGAATTTTTTCCATCTTTGAACATCTTTTTTGAAATTTTTCCATCTCTTTTTTTTATCTAAAAACATCTTTCCATTCAATCCATCTTTTTTGAGCTACTGCAAGTCACACCAACTCGATAATTGTGCGCACTGCCACAGTGCCAACCGCAAACTTTGACGTGACCGTATGCGCGGTACAAATTTGCGCACATAGCTGAATTTGAAATTTTAGCTCATACATGCACCAAGAACAGTCCTGCAGAATTTCAGCTTTCTGTTTTGTCTGGTTCATGAAATCGCTCCCTATACCTCATGCCCTGACGATAGTACGATCTGCTTATACCGCGCAGTCTCAATTTAGGCTGTGCTTTTATGACATATAGTTGACAAGTAGTCCCCCAAGCGAACAGAAATAATAAATTATGCATTTTTTTTAAGCTCATAAGAAATGCAACCTTTGTCGTGCCACCATGATTCGAAGTGTCAATGTTTTGCATTGTTCCTCTGTTTCTTTCGTATCAGGCAAATTTGTGAAATCGGGCGGTTCACCGCCAATGCTTTTCTGCACTTCCTCTTTCATCATCCCAAAATTTTCTCTAAAAAAAATTCTTTCATTTCCCCAAAATTTTCCCTAAAAAGTTTTAATACTTTAAAATAATCAGAGAAATATATTGCTAAAGTATTAAAACTTTTTAGGGAAGAATTTGGGGAAATGAAAGAATTTTTTGTAGGAATTGCTAAATTCCTAAAAATTGCTGAATTGCTATATGAAAGAATTGCCAAATTCCCCTTGCTTACTGCGAATGAAGCTATCGTATAGGAACTCGCCCAAAAATCTTATCAAAATCTCAACAACAGACACAAGCTTAACCCCAACTAGCTAATAAACGATGAGTTTTACGCTGCCGCTTTTTATATGTATGTTCGCTTTTCTTCCGTTGCAGTTTCATTTTCGATATCACTTTAACTTCGCATTTTTCCTTCGCGATTACACACACACGCACACACACACACACACACACACACACAAACACACACACACATGCACATCTAACATACCCTCGCTTGAACGGTGAACTTTCTCCCTCAGCGTCATGCGTATGAAGTTAAAAAAAATTGGCCAACGCACGGGCTGCCCGTGCGAAGATGCGTTTTTTGCAGAGTTCCCCG